CACCTAGGGACAATTTTGAGTGTTCAATCAGCCTGCCACGCATGTTTTTGGAATGTGGGAGGAAACCGGAGTACCCGGAGAAAACCCACGCAGGCCCGGGGAGAACATGCAAACTCCACACAGGGAGGTGCACACACGCACACAATACATATATATGAGTCGTACTATAATTTTGGTACCTCTGCCCACCTCGAGTGAAAGTGAAGACTTTTACTCAGTACTGTACTTTGTAACAAAAAAAAGCATCCTATAAAAATGTTGGCACCCTGAACTTCCGAACTGTGTGGAAGATGTGCTCATCACTCCTCCAAAGTGCTCCCCATAAAACACGAATGCTGATTTTTGTCCGCATTATTTGTGGGGCCTCACACTTAAGAAAAAAAAAACAATTAAAATGTCAAAAATTGATATTTGTGTAGCTTGCGTTGTCAAAAAAAAAACAAAAAAAAACCTCCAGTTCAAAATGTCCAATTTCCCACAAGTACTTGGGTCAGAAATAACCCAATTACGGGTGACAAAGGGACCGATCACAATTATTTATTTTTTTTGCACAAAACACCAAACATGTCATTATTTTGTACAAAAAAAAAGAGTCAATTTGAGTCAAATTGACCCAAGTAGCAGTCAGTCCCTCTGTGACCCGTAATTGGGTTATTTTTTCACCCAACCGTTTTTAGAATATGAATGCAGCATAAATAGGCCCTCCATGACACCTCTTTCGTCTTCCAACTCTATCTCATATGTGCGGCAGGCTCAGAGCTGAGACTCCTCAGGGGAAATGCGGTATATAACCCGGATGCACTCGAAGCAGCTTTGCAAACATGGACCGGAGCCTTGCTACGTGGGCTCGTTTCAGTCGGATCTCAAGAAGGAAGCGGTCAGATGAGTTGAATCAAAGCCATATGAGTGGAGCGGGATGACTTCCTGTTGCTCTTTCTGCCTACACACATCCTCGCCGCTTTTATTTCCTTCATGCAGGCCCCTCTGCGAGTGTCGTCTAAGCGTAGCCCTTTGTCATGCCTCATTACGCTTTGACGAAACGAAGCGCAGCTGCACAACCCGACGGAAAAGCCGCCCCTTCTCAAATCAAGAGAAACAGGAAATTGCTGTTGAAACACAAACAAACAGAGCGGCGGATTTGGAGCGTTTTCGTGGTCGTTGACCCGGGGGTCACTCAGTAGAAAGAGTACTGGTTCTCCACGGCTCGGGCCCGTCGGGTCCCGTCAGCGTCGTGGTAGTCCTCGGACGCGGTGCCCGAGGCCTCCAGCAGGCGCTCCGAACTGTTGCTGCGGCTCTGTAAGCCTCCGCCGGTGCCCGGGTCGCTGCGGGAGAGGGAGGGCAGGGCGGTGGGTGAGGAGGAGGTACTTGAGGAGAGGGGTGCGTCGGCGGTGGTCCCGGAAGAGGGCGAGATCCCGGGAGGGTGGGGGGCGGAGTCCGGGCGGCAGCTTGCGTCTCCCCTGGGAGGGGTGACGAGCGGAGGCACGTTCACATCTGTGGGTCAGTGAAAGAGTTTCTATTGTAGCTGCATCCAATATTTTGACCGATGACTCTGTTCAACAGCAGCTTTTAATCAGAGATGGCTTTATGTGTCACTCAATGTATTTGTGATGATGATTTAAAAAATACTTTTTTTTTGGGAAGGTTGACCTCTGAAAGCGGGCTCAATATGGATTTTTACCATGCGTTGTAATTTGTAGCCCGACGTTTCTGAAAAGAATTCCACCCGATGGTGAACAGAACCCTTTCATTCATAAATATTAACACATATAGGTCTATATTTCATTGCACATTGTTGTTTTTATATTGTCATTGCGATCATTATGAAACCTGATATGCTAGGAAAAAAAACGGGAGATTCGAAATTAGTGAAAACATGAATTGACTTGCATCTCTGATTAAAAAATGTCATTAAAAAATTGTGTGTGTTATCTCAGTGAGTCATTGGATAAAAATTAACTTTGCTCTGATAAACAACAAAATATAAATGTGAGGTATTGTTTCACATGTTCCTCACCAGGGCTGCAAAATTATTTTAATAATCAATTCATCTGTCCATTATTTTGTCAATTAATTGATTCAAAAATATGTTTCAGGTTCTGTCCATTTATTAAAAAAAAAAAAACAGGATATTATTTCAAATTGACAGTGCACAAAATTGCAGGATAAAATGAATCATGAGTCGGTTCTCGAAGAAATAAAAACGCGTGATCATTGTTTTCCAAAGTAAGAGCAGATGTTTGCAAATTACGTTTCCAGGGTATGGGCAATTTCAAATCAAACAAGATCTCTTAATTGGATCTTGAATTGAACCCTGGTACCTCTGCACTGTGAGGTCGACATGCTAACCACTGGACCATCGGGCCGCCATATCAAAAATAATGAGCGATTAATCAGTCAGCTGTGGATTAATCAATGCACCTCTATTCCACACGACTCTGTGACTGATTGTTCATGTCTTTAAAAGGTGGGACCTGGCTTGGGAGTCAACAAATGAGACTGTGGAGTTGGCTGTTGTGAGAGCAGATTAGCGGCTGACTGTTAAATGACTAACCGTTAGCCAGACTGCAGCTTGGGCGCGTGCGTATCAGTTGTGGCCAAAGAAGAATCACCATGTCAATGGCTGCGTCCAAATTCACAAGCTGGGGCCTTCGAAGATCCGCATTTTTGGCCGCATGATGTCGCTTCCGGCGTGACTCGACCGCATGTGGTGTCCGAATTAAGTCAATCCAAATTCGCCACTGTTTATGCGGTCCCCCCGAGGATAAATGAAGAGGAGCCTGCGAATTGTCTTTCTAGAATTTGGAAACCATGTGCGGTCAAATAGCGCCGGAAGTAGCGTCATGCGGCCCAAAAAAAAAAAAAAAATGCGGCCTGTGAATCTGGACACAGCCACTTACTTGTGTTTCTTTGCTATTTGCGGCAGGGCTCAGCCCCTAGCCCATGCGAATAGCGCGGGTTTACCGTGTCTTACTGCTAGCTCGGTGCTACAAGGCTTTTCTTTCACAAGTAAGATGTAAACACTGGCAGTGTGGGCCTTCCTTTATTATCCTTTCTCAGCGACTCCAGCAACAGCGGTGCCAAAGACACGCCTGACCAGTGTATCAATGATGCCTTTTACACCAGAATCAAACCCTCACTCTATGCGCCACACAGAGGGCCCCTTCATAACCACCAAAGCAGGGCGAATTTGGGCCAGCATGAAAAGCTGCTGCGGTATAATCGCCCACTCACTCCCCTCGACAGGAGGGTATTCATGACGTGCCAGTGTGAAGGGGTCCACGCGGTGCAGGTTCACTGAGTTTCAGCTTCGCTTGCTTCTTTTAAGGAGAATAAATCCAGGCAAGAATACTAGAGGGCTCTCTGCGAACCTCTGTTCTCCTCTGAAGAGTTTACGGACCAAATGGAGACAACCGAGAAGATTGGTTTTTAATTCAAAACAATTTCAGGTGTGAGCCAAAAGCAGGGACAAAGTGGACTGTGAAGTCAGTTCAGCAGATTCTTCATCATCTAATCAAGTATCGCAAACCCTCATAAAGATAAGTGTATCTTCGGTAAGGGAAAAGACGAAACTAAATAAATGCTGAAACCAAAATGATTGAACCAGGGACCTTCACTGCAACGCTCACCCAACCGAGTTATTTATTTGCAGTGTTCAATGTCAGACAAGAGGGCTCACAAAACCGGCAGCGGGAAAACCGTGAGTTGACAGGTAATGATCTATGACTACTTTTTTTTTTTTTGATTATTATATTATTTAAAACCGGCACCAGTATCCTGCAAATACAAATATCTTTTGCAAAAACCCATTTCGCTCCATTCTTCATTGTCCACTGACCAATGAATTGCTGCAAAGCTGTGTGGGTTTTCTCCGGGTACTCCAGTTTCCTTAGGGGTGTCCAAACTTGGTCCTCAAGGGCCATGCAAATATTTTCTTCACAAAGGCAATTACTTGACTCACCGCATTCTCTATCATCAACTGACGAATCGGTTACCACAAACCTTCAAAAAGATACCCGTACAAGTGCACCTTCGCAAAGGGAAAGGACTTCGAATTAGAGCAAATGCCGAAAAAAAAAA